ACTTTCCGCCTATGGATAAACACTCTCATCAAGGTTTGCCTTGACTTTCAAATAAGAATAGCATCCATTATGTGTTCAGTTTTTGTTGGGCGTGACATTTTATTTTCACAGAGCCTCTTTTCACCCTGGAGCAAAAGCAATAATCCGAGACCGAATAAAAAATTTCTGAAAATTTGATAAAAGAAATACTGAGAGAGTATTTGCTATGGAGTAGGGTCGTCAGCCTCATGGACAGGGGATGATGCTTCTTCGCTTGAGCAATAAGGAACGTGCACTTTTAAAAGGGTGTGGCGTAGAGATTTGGTTGTAAAAGGGGCAAAGCTGGTGACCTCAGCAACACATACCCACCAAAGTGCCCCTAAGTTGTCAAACGCTTGAGCCGATGAGGGACTTGAAGCTCGCAAATACTTGAGTGTCCTTTTGGTATTTTTACTTTGAAGAATTTAAATTGTCTGTCCATGAACTTGTTTTGGCAGGAACTCGATCCACCCAAAGCCGTTGACCTCGAGACCACAGCCAAGATAAAAGTTCCCAGTATTATTACTCAGCCAAACCTGAACAATGACCAGGTTACGGTACGTACAGGGAAGAAAACTGCAAACTCATGTGATACATTGTGTATCTATACGCTTGCCACCCTAGAACATGACAGGCGAAGTGACGGCGTCTAGGTCATGGATGAGACAACGCTCTGTTTCAAATTGAACTTACCTGCCTCCAGAGTAGAACTTAATTACGACTCGGATCAATTTACTGGTGTCGGCTGAGTGTCTGTGGCTGTATTTCGTATCGTGTCGCCGCCCAATCGATCTTCTATGCTAGTTTTCAGTTGTTTCGCACTGTGTAGCTGCCTAAGGAGTTAAAAAAACCTTAAATCAAATGTCTGTTTGCGTGGAGCCCCTTCAGAGGACATAGTTCAGCATTTGCGGTAGCTAAGGAGTGCAATTTTTATTTTACAGAAGTTTGTTGAAGTTGTGTACTTTCCTTACATATTTATAGATCTACGGTAGACTTGGTGACTGCGTGACTTACTTCTCTTATATCACCGTGTCACAGATTATAACGTCAGCCAACGTGACTTGCTGCTCTTAGATCTCTGTGTCATAGATTGTAACGACAGCCAACGTGACTTACTACTCTTATATCTCTGTGTCACAGATTATAACGACAGCCAACGTAACTTACTTCCCTTATATCTCTGTGTCACAGATTGAAACGTGACTTACTGCTCTTATATCTCTGTGTCACAGATTATAACAACAGCCAAACCAGCTCAGACCGAGGCACAGAAAAAGAAGGTAGCCTGGTGGGTGATTTTGCTCTCTGTCCTTGGTGGTGTTCTCTTGGTGGGCGGGGTCGTCGCAGGCCTGTACAAAGTAAGGAAATTGAGTTTCCTCAAGTACTTTCAAGTGATTTTATTGACGATTAAAATGATTTTATTGGTGACTTAGAATGATTTTGGTGCCGCAAAGGAAACACACCAAGTATAACTAATGATTGCTGGCCTAAACGGGCCCTAACAACGAATTAACCAAAGCAGTTGGACGGTGTTTGTGTCCAAACCTCGATTATCACTTGCATGAGAAATTCGTGCGTTATCATCATGAGTAATGTTTCTCTTCAAGGTGGTAGAAAAAAATTGGCCCACTTCAATAAGTCGTGTATTTCTTTGCCTTCGACGTGTTTTTTCGGTAGATTCCTAGCGCTTCGTGTAATAAATTTGGACGAGAAATACTCGGGAACAAGGCCATACTAAGACTTAGTTTCCATCAAGTCTTTGGGTTTGCCACGTCAGATCCCAGTTAGAGCAATTGCTAACAACTAGACCTGTAAAAGAATCCCGTTAGATTCTAGCGAGTTTTACAAGAAGAATAATTTTTTTTTGCGTCGTTCACCGCCGAAGCTCATGCGGATGACGTTTTCTGATCGTCCCACTATTATCGATAACAGTCCTTCTCACAGCTACTCTCAACCGAACGATCAGACTACGCGATCCAATTTTACTCCCGAATCCAAACTAAAAACGGTAGCTGTAATTGCTAATGCTTCGTGAACTAATAGTTGTAACTTACAGCAACATGATTAAGTAATCATTAACTATGATGATTGAACTAATCATTAACTATAATCAAATGATACATGTGTTGTGGGTTACTCTTTTTCGTCCTCATTGATCACGTGCACGTCAATTCAACACAATTCATAACGTTCCGCGTGGAATTTCGTAATTCTCAACCTCTTACTTTTTGGATGTATGGTGCTTTTAGTTGTTAGTTTGGTTAAATAAAAGTTTAGAATAAGCTATAAAAGAAGAAGGTTTCAATGTAAATATGAAACGTCAAACAAGAAAGCCTGTTTAGTCTTGGTCTCGTTAAGCTGCTTGTAAACAATATTTGGTAGTGGTGAAGGGTTTGTGTTTGTTTATACATGTTTGTAAACAACTTGTGTCCGGTGAAGGGCTTGTGTGAACAAAGCTTTATGGAGGCCATGTATCGCTGTTACTATCGTTAAAAGCTAAGCATCACTGGATTAATCTACTGCTGGATTTTGGTTGGTCAACAAAAGTGATATCATTTTGTTGTGCGTCATAACCACGAGCACCTTTAAACCACAGTCTGCATGGATTTCATCTGCATCGTACCACTGTACTTCACTCTGCCATTCTCGCTTCACTTTCCAGTGACTTCACCTCGCGTGTTTTGTTTCTTTTGAATTTTCTGCCTTGTGAATGTTTTTGCCTTTTTCTCCAGTGTGGATTTTTCAAAAGGAAACGTATAAAAGATATCTCGGGTCCTATGGAAGAGAGAGAACCAATGGCACAAACAAAATGAGCGTGACTTGCGTGACGTCAGAGTAAGGACCAAATGTGACGACATCTCACCCACCGTGACGTTAGATGCATGAACTGAACATCATCGTTTTAATCCGAATCTTTCCCCACTTTTCACGTAAATCACTATAAGCAACTCGTCTCTTAGTTGCTTTGTTTAAGCCTCAGTGTAACATTTTATTCACTGAATATAAAATATCTGCCTTTCACTGCCGTTAGTAGGTAGAGAAAAAAAAAATACTCGTTTCATGAACCTGTGCCATTTACTGTAGACTAAACGACACTCCAATGAAGCTGATAACACGGAATTTAAACCGGATGAACCGGTTTTTTTCTGGTTCCATTCCGGCTTGCTCTGGTCATGGTTCATTCTAATCTGTGTGCGTTAAAGGCTGTTCGAGTTTTTGCAGAACTGTTTATGAGAAAAAAAAACCGTAAACTTTGTCTGGTCCTAGTTAGTTGTACCAGACATAACTCTAAACTAAACTGACTAATTAAAAATGGTAATTTTAATCCAATGATATGCGACAAACCAGACAGGAGTTCGTAGAATACCTGTATGCTTCCGCTTAAAATGCTGTGTCAAAAAAGCGAAGCTATGTATTATTTTAACTGGGTCTGAAAAAAAACCTGCCAAAGCAGTTTCAAGTCAATTAAAGTCAGGATGGTTGAAACAAAAAGACACAGTTAACATTGAGTAAGCACAAAAATTACGTTATTTTACGTAATTTATATATATTTATGTAAATAGTTCAATGTTACAGTTTAAAGCTCTCTAATTTCTTTTTTGATATTGTTTTATTTCCCTTTTAGTGTGGATTTTTCAAGAGAAAACGAATAAAAGACATCTCAGGCCCGAGTACCTCAGAACTGAACGTCATGTAAAGTGCGTATTTTTATATTCATGGAACACTCGGGAAAGGGAACTTTGTTAGCTAGAATCCAATTTTTTAGACAAAACAAAATTATTTACCATTATACCATAACGAAACACTTACAAGGAACTGTTTTTAGTGAATAACGAAACTTGGAGACCTTCGCGATGAATGAAAACTCAAATAAATATTACTTGCACAATCCTCGCTTTCAAGGAGTTTGAATTTTAAAATAAGTTTGTGTGGTCAACAACTGCTGATAACCCTAGTTATCAGCAGTTGTTCATTTGGTCCATATGATCAACGCACATAATTGAATTCTTGTAGAAAATCATGTAGTAGGTTTTATAGATAGCTTTTTTAAGTGTGAAGTGCCGATGTTGTTATTCTTACTAGGGTTTTTGAAAGAATCGTGAAATACGACAAATGCTATTTTTATAAGTAATGTTTATTTAATTGCAGTATGTAATAAAAAAATACCTCATTTATAGGCCATGATTTAAATAAACTTTTTTTAAACTTAAACACGATATTCTTTATTTTTGGTGACTTGTCAGTGACGTTAACCCCAATTCGAGAAAACATCAATTTACTGTGAGTGGCGGAGTTTTTCCCAAATTCGTTCATTCAGAGATTTAAGGTCAATATTTCCGGAATTGAGACCTAACCGGCCCTTATTAAATGAAATTGGTCTTTCCTCTAGTTCCGAGAAAGAAAGCTAACTGATCAAAATAGAGCTGAAAACTGAGTGAGAGGAGGAAAAAAGTACTAAAAGTTATCTACGAGGGCGTTATCGTTGATATGACGACAACGGAAGTGACGTTTCGACATAACCGGAAGTGACCATGCACTTGTACTCACGATTGTAAAAAAAGGTCTTAAACATGGTAGAGAATTAACCTCGAGGGGAGGAATAAAAAAATTTAAGTACTTTGGAACAAAAAGCTTTTTCAATAAACTACTACAGTCATTTGAAATGTGAAGGAGATATTACCAAAAAACGTTTTAAACAAATTTCTACGGTCATTTGATATCTGAAAATTAAATCCAGCCATGAATATTTTTCATCGATCGCACTAAAAACGAAGATGACAAATAGTACATAAATAAAAATAATTTTTAAGAGCGTCTGAGTGTCAACTCGTAGTTCAATTTTCTCGAACACAGATAGTTTCAATGAATTGTGATGTATAACTTCCGCTTCCGGTTGAGCACGATTGTGACTGTGACACAGGTCATTGGAATTCACGTTGAAAAGCAATATAAACACTTTTAATTTACATTTGCACCTATAACATTACACGTGAGGCAGACGTTCTCTGACTGCGACTGCTTGGCGAAGTTTACTACGTTATTGAATGCATTTTTTAAGCTCTTGCATTGGGCTTTCCAGACTTTTGGCGATGACTCGCAGTCGCTTTGTATTTTTGGCTGTTATTGTGTGTTTGACAAGAGTTTTTGCTTTTAATTTGGATGTAAAAGATCCGTTCATCTATAAAGGCACGTCCGGGGAATATTTTGGATATACTGTTGTGCTACACAGGCAGAGAGCTGTAGGAAATTGGTAAGTCACAATCTTCAATTTGAAAAGTTTGTCAAGGCGAGTAAAGTAATCACATGATACTGAAGTTCTGGTGATCGTAATAAATGTTATGGATTTCGTTTGTTAGCTCTCCCTAACGCTTCAATAACCATCTCTCAAGTAGAACGTGACAGAATGTTGAAAGATGAACTGTTTGGAAAACCTTGAATACTTATCACTCGATTACACCAACTAAGATCGCGATATTTATCAAATCGATTGGTTCATTTACTTACGCTTTATGACACTACGAATAATTTGTGAGTTTAAATGTAATAACAAAATGATGATCATACTCCTAGGAGGAGCGAAATTAGTTTGAATCGCTGTAATCTTGTAAGCGAGCTCTAGTCTTAAGACTCTATACTTGAAAAAACGTTGAAGTTTTAACGACCTTTGTCGAGCCTGTCTTCTCAAGTGAATTAATACTGACGGAAAACAGTTTTTCAGGACAATAATTGTAATTACATAGAGAAGCAACAAGTGTTAGCTCTCCTGTTTGTTTTGAATTGCCCGATTTTGCGTATTTGCGGCCAGGTACAACTCAGATTTAGCTTTTTGCCTAGGAAACTTAGTTGGTTTGTGAAAACTCAATTTTATGAATCGTGATTCTGTTAAATTGACTTAATTTTATGAGTTATTCATTTCATGAGGTGTTGCATGTGTCTGTGGTCACGGCTATCATATTTGTAACTTAATGCGCATAAAATACAAAAGATAACGATATTGACAGAGTCATTCTTTATTCACTGATTTCTTTACTCAGTAAACCTCGTTAATCTCATCCATTCTTTGATATTCGAGTCGGTATAAAATCGCCATGTCCATGTGTCCATATAATTCATGCACGATACATTTGGATTACTTCATCGAGACGGTAGTATACAAAAAGCCCCTGGCAGACTTTCATGGAATGAATAATATGTGACCATTTATAGAAGTTAAAAAATTAGAGGAGTTATTTTGAAACAGAAGCCAATATTTCAACCTCTTCGCTTTTCAGCGATTTTCCACGCCCAACCCACTATTTGAGATAGTTAGAAATTTCCTGATTCCCTAATGCGGGGAGAATGTAAACACAACGCCCGCGGGAAGGTAGTGGTAGAGGGAGACAAAGGTAAAGAAAAGAAACAATCAAGTTGGCGCCTTCTTTGATATACTAAGGAAACGTCAATGTATTATTTTAATTTATAGGGTAATTGTGGGTGCACCATTTGGCAACAAAACGTCAGGAGACACTGAAAGAACTGGTTATGGAAGTGTGTATAAATGCAGTTCAAATTCGCAGTCAAATCCATGTCAAGTTATAACGATTGACAACAGCAGTAAGTACTTTCTACATAGCCTGTGAGGAAGTCACCGTTGCTGGTGGTTTTGTGTGCCCTGAGAAACGTAGTGACAAAGCCGCTGAGGGGTTAGGATTAGGAAATGTGTGGGAACTTACATGTTTTGGTGTTTCGATCTTCTGGTTTATGACTGACAACTGACAACGGAAAACTAACAACCATGATCGCCTCGCGCTTTGTAGTCCGTTCCATTCATTCATTCGACTTCCTTTGAAACCACGGAGAAGCTATTCTTTAAAGTGTTTTGACAGTCAGACACTTACCAGTTCTTGATCGTAATTTGTAATGCGGCTTTTGAGGATGCGATATTCTCTGTATATATCCTGGTACCCAGCAGTTTCATTTTGCTATTATCTGTGCGCAGTCTTGGATAAGTGAGAGCTTCTCTGTGAGGTCACGGCTCATAGGAGGACCAAATGTGATTGAGCCGACATCGTGAAGGGACTAGTGTAGCGAATGCACCGATAAATTGACATATTTTTATTATTTAACCAGTGATATCTGAAATACATGAAAAAATTATTTAGATAACAGTAATTACAATGATAACAAACAAGGTAAATGAAAATTAAACGAAGAAAGGAAAACAAGAACGTACCTGACGGTTGGGATTCTTTTACGAAACGACATAGAGACACTCAAGGAAAAATTCTGACTGATCATTAAATGGCGCGAAAACTAGCTGATACCGCGCAAAGATTGGAGACTAACATATCGCTGAAAGACGTTACCACTACAAGACTGTTAGCATTTGATTTACTGTAAATCTATTTTAACAGATCCTTTGATAACTTATTGGAGCGATGAAAATGGCGTCACCCTTACGGCGAATTTAGAAGAGAAAAACGGCCAGATGCTTGGAGCAACTTTGGACAGCATACCTACCCAAGACAACGGCGCATTGTTGGTACGTACTGGCCAGCGTTTTGAAAGTTCTCAGATACAACTAGCCTAGAATCAAGTGTTGCTCTCTTTTCAGCACGAATAATACGATACTTTCAAAGGAGATGCGCTTTTCGCGTTAGTAGAAAAGGAACGTTTGATCGTAGGTTTAAACTCAATTTTCTTGCCCTCTCTGAGGAGTAACGGTTTATCCCAGTCTTCATCTTTCCAGTCCCTGCTCCGACATGTTTTTTGTCACCTTTCTCGTACCACCCCTCCCCCCTCTTGCATGTTACGAAGGCTATTTTTGCTTCATGCTAAAAAACCGAATTTCATAACCAGTCAATCTATTACTTTGTCATCCATGATTCAAGTCCATTTAAAAATTTGAAAAAAAAACCGACAAGCCTTAAAATCCTTTTTAAAGTGGTTCTGTGTAGAAGTGAAAAAACCGTGAGCCATTTCCAAATTAGTTTCATGTAGAGACTTCATTCAAAATCTCGAACAACATCCCTGTTCGTCCGTTAAAGATAACCTTTTTGTTTTCCTAGGCCTGTGCACCAAAGTACACTTTCCGTGGAGAGGTTGCGCGCATTCCTGACGCTAGACCTGAAGATAGACGAAAGTTACTGTTGGGAAAATGTTTTCTAGTCAGAAATGACTTGTCTGGTAGAACGTCGGACGGTATTCGGCCATGCTATCGCGGCGGTGAGTATATTTATGATTTGCTCAACTTATTACATTAGGCATCGTTTACAGGGACGATGGATGACCAGAAATTCTCACTTTAATAAACGCTGCTTACCAAGAGTAATGAAGAGTTAGCACAGTTCTGCTTCGCTTGAGCGAGCACGGTAGTGCGTAGATAAAGTATGGATTATTTGAGACCAGAGTGTGAGCAGTGTTATTAAGATCTTTTTTCATTTTTGTCCAATTTAGACAATGGTTATAGCGATCAGTACAACGCAAATAAGGAAGGGGCGTGTGAAGCTGGATTTAGTGCTGCTCTGTCACAGGATGGGTTAACTGTGCTTATGGGTGCTCCCGGGAGATACTTATTGAATGGTGAGCTCTACATTAACCATATGCGTTTCTGATATACGTTATATTTATTATTTTAATTGAGCAACGAAACTTCTGTTTAGAGTGAGGCAAGTTTTAAAAGGTTCTTGGTTCTAATGAGGGATCTGATCATTAAAATCTAACCCTTACAAATTTGCTCTATGGTAATAGCGCCCAAGTAGTATCTCGGATGTACAGGTTCAGAACCTTTCGAAGCCTAGATTTTCCTGTCAGGACATTTACCTGTGAAGATTAAATTCCCACGTTAAGGTGCTGTGAGAAATGAACCGTGAAAACAGAGCGAGTCCTTTTTGAATTTGTCTGTGTTCACATGCACTGAGTTATGTTTTATATTATTTGAAGTCTCTTAATTAACGGTGCATCTTTGAAACTACTACTTAAGATGAAACCATAATGCGTCGATCAAGTCGAAGCTTCGACATTCCCCGCCCTCCCCCCTGAGCAACCCCCAGGTATTTGAACTTTTGAGGATGGGTTTGTTTCAATTCCAGCCCCCGGGGCATTTTGTTCAAATGCCCCAATTTTTTGTAAATATCGAAAATAGCTTTACATTTGTTGTAACCTTCAATCACGGTACGTATCTAAAAGTACATCTCTACCTTTTTTTCCCAATTAGGATCAATCTCAGTGTTCTATTCTGATACTCAAGATTCTGCAAGAACCTTTTCAGCCCTGTATCCTGATCTTAGCAGTGGTAGCGCTTTGGGTGAGTTTAAATGGGACAATCGCTTTTTTTATATTTTTAACATTTTTGCATCGAAAAATCCAAAACCTAAGTAATTACGTTGGTTAATCAAATCAAAAGAAAATACGCCAAAAAGCAAATAAGATCCTAAGTAAATTCGCGAACGACTCCAGCGCGCGCAAGCACGAGGTTCCAAGTCCCGACTGGTTTTGGCATTTGATTGGTTGAGAGGGTGAGGCGGGTACATTTGACCAATCACAGGGTGCAGTGTAGCAAACCCATCTAATCCTGTATTTCTTTCGAGTTAAGACGGCTTAGTTCTGTGCCTCAATTACTGAAATTTGTCACGGTGATTACAAACCCTTGTAGTAGTACCATATTGAGTCTTATTCAACGCAGGCCCAATATTTCCGACTCCCCTTAGAAGGAATTGAGGAAAGTTACAATTCGCGAATAATTCGGGCGATTAATTCACGATTTTATTTGCATTTTAGGTTACGCCGTTGGAATTGGAAATTTCAAATCTCAAAATAAGAGAAGAGAAGGTATGAAGTTCCATCACATATGAAAGTCTGTTGAATGCCTTCTTGTTAAACCGGTGACACACACTGGCGAAAACACTGCCAATTAGAAACATGATCTAACTTTTGCTTGTTTTCTTGTTTTTATTTTCATTCATAATCCAGAGTTTCTGGCGAGTTCGACGCGAGCTAATAATCTCCTGGGAAAGGTACAGAACATTAAGTATCTTTTTAATGATTAGTGTAAAAGTCCTATCGTCAAGAATTGAACAGCTAATTTTGAATAAAGCACAGATCCCATCGTAACTAAAGGAAGATGCGGTTTTCTTTATTTGATCGGCACGTGCTGCGCATCTTTTACGACCCGTTTTTTCCGCGCTTGACTTAGGTTGCATACTGTCGCTTCGATTCCTGACTGGCGCATTAAGGCATGTGAGTTCACTGTAGTTTATCACGGTTTCTGTGTTGGCAGAACTGTGGATATATTTTTTTTCCGATTTTCTCTTCTACTTTGGTAATCTAATCACAGTTTTAAACAGAGGGGACGACAAACATTCACGTTTATGTGATTTTATGGTTTTTTTGTTTTTTATCAGGTTGTAGCATTTGATGTGAACACGGACAACTTTGATACGTCCGTCAGCTTTACTCTTCCTTTGCCCGCAACTGCTCAGGTACTCATCACCACCAACAAAAGAGAATACAATTAATTTAAAAATCAATGCTATAAAATCGCTCGCGCGCGATTGGTGTTAGTTAAACCCAATCATTAGACTAAGTATGCCCCATGTACGACGATGGAGTACATAGGACATACACATGGGTGATATCCCAACTTGAATCTTAAAAACCTTTCCTCCGATAAGTGAGTCTCCGTGTCGAATTATATTCAACACATTTGGGAGATTTTAACTGTGCAAAGTTTTCGCACGCAATTGAGTGTATGAGAGACATGTACGAACAGAAAAATTCTGAGGGCCTAAAGATTTATCGCATTGCTTAAATTGAGTGGAAAAAAAATTTGAAAACGATAACTGAGTCGTTACATCACATTTAAAGTTAATGAAATGATACGGATTCAATCACGTAAAAGTAGAATCTCTAAGGCAGATCATCACCTTGCCCTAAGATCTAAAACACAGCTTTTTTTCATTTTCTTAATTTTAGCTGATTGTCTCATCTCTCTATTTGTTCTGTTTTGTTTCGTAGTTGGGAAGCAATTTTGGTCAATCTCTTTGTGTTGTGGACTTAAACAATGACGGGTAAGGAATGTCCTTTGTCAGGTGAATTCATTCTTCGATTAAGCCGATAAAGCCATGACAATCAACTCTGATTAAATTTTTTGCAGTTTTTCCGACTTGTTGGTAGGTGCTCCTTATTACAGACACAGTGAATACGGAGATGAAGGAAGAGTTTATACTTACATGAATAGCGGAAAGGTAATTTTTAAACGTAATATTTGCGTGACAGCGGTCGTTGATTGAAATTTTGATCTACTTGCGCATGCTCTACATTTGACAGCTGAGTCATCGAATTGTGATGTAATCAATTTGTTTGTATTTCAGACCCCTGGGACTCTTAATCATAAGGAATCCATGACACTGGATGGGAGAAAAACGATGAGATCTCTTTTTGGGTACGCGATGGCTGTCGCAGGAGACTTAAACAGGGATGGATTTACAGGTAGACGGCAAAAACTTTCTTTACTGGAAAGGAAATCGAATGTTACTAAAAACAGAAATGGGAAGCGGGGAAAGGGAGTCTGGAACCGAAAATACAGCGACAATCTACATCAAAATTCTAAATGGCGGATGACAACATGGAAAAAGAGTCTGAGCTATAGTTTCAGGCACGCACTTTTTGAAGTAGGTCGTGAGAACACTCGGCGTGGATAATAAATGAAAGTTTTGATGCAGGATTTTTGACTTGATCTTTGACTTCAAAATTTTAGTTTACCCTGATATAAATCGCAAGCACGATAGAAATTTTGTTACTCGGAGTAACGTTCAGCGGAAATCCTCGGCCGATATTACTTGTGCTTCTACGCCACATAGAAACGGTTTTTTTTAGTCTAGATGGCGGTCGCAGATTCAAATATTCACCACAGTTGAACAAAAATTACCTCATTTTGATTCTGTGTTGAATTTCACTGCTATTTTGTCTTGTAAGATGTTTCTTAATTTTTCAACCCAACAAGAAAAAGATTTGGATTTGTAAGATATATTTTGGATTCACATGAAACAACCTTTTAACCTTATTTTGTCCATCTCCTTTTCAAAAACAGATGTTGCAATAAGTGCACCGTATGGCGGTAAAGATCGAGGAGGTGTTGTATTTATTTACTTCGGCACGAAAGATGGCATTGAAAGTTCGTTTAGACAGGTAAATTATTTTCACGGCGTCTTACCATAGGTCATAAAAAAAAACAGTACCGAATGTTGCATCTATTTTATTGAATTGCTATTTTCACTCAACGCAGGCAATTGAGGCATCCGACATTTCTGTTGGAGTGAAGACGTTTGGATTTTCTCTGGCGGGTAATGTTGATGTGGATAACAATGGCTATCCAGGTCAGTCGGATCGCGTGAATTTGCCCATTTGAGCATTTTATTGATGTCCTCTGGTAAATAAAAAACGCCAGGTTTTCTTGTACACCAGGGGCGGTGGGACTTTCATTTGGTGGAACAGGGAAGGCAAAAAAATCGTAACGCAACAATAGAGTAAACTATGAGGACAGTGACTGTGCATGTGAGATTTTAGGATGTCATAGATTCCTTAACTGTTTTATTTAGAACAGAATGAGAATCTCACGGGCAAGGTTTTCCTATAATTCTTTAAGAGTCACCATATATAACTACTTTTAAAAAGGAATGCCAGTAGACCATAGTAAAACTAACTGCACGTACCTAGAGGCCCGCCATGTACTTAGAAGTCCAATGAAAATTTTTGTAGTTCTCCATATGTAAGTACAAACAGGAGAGCTGGTGACGAGTATTCTTCTGTCTTATGATGACCAACCTGACTCGAATATTCTGCCTCACAATGTGCTTCTCACCATTTTTGTTAATGTTCCGTTCTCTGCACAGATCTCGCTGTTGGTGCTTATTCTTCAGACAGAGCTTTCCTTCTAAGGTAAAACTAAACGGATTTCATTTCCATATCTCAAGAATCTCAAAAAGTGTATATCTTGATCAATGGAATGCCAAACCAACACCTGTCGTAGCTGGACTGATCAGGACACTTTGCATTCCACAGAAATGACGAGCAATACTCATAGGGTGATCTTGCCAGTAGCCTTATACACCCGTGCGAGGCCTGCAGAACACGCGTAATTTTTTTTGCGTCTTCAACGCAAATACAGGCAACTTTTTTTTCGCGCTCCTTTCATTGTGCAATTGAAACTTGATCTGCAAAAAAAAAATCGTAAAAGATAAGAAAAATTTCAAAATATTCAGTTATTGCACTGTGTAATTAAATTCAATACCAATGATCTAAATCTTTTTACTCGATAGATCACGACCAATTGTAGAGATGGAAGGTGAACTTAAACTGAGTGTGACTCAAATTTCACTGGAAGACAATAAAACTGTGCAGCTAGCAGCAGACGGTGTGTCACGAAAAAGGTACTTTTTCACCAGGGGAGGGTGTGTTGGAGGTTGGGCTCGTTGAGAATTGTTGTTGACTAAAATAAAAGCCTTAAATAATCTTACTCGAGAGTGGCCAAACGCCGGAGAGAAAAGGAAACAAAGAGGGCCGCGGATGGAAAAGATTAAACATGGAATTGAAATCAGCAATTTTAAATATGGAACGGAGCTTATTAGTGAATGGTTAATCTGACGTATCCTCGTCAGTCGACAAGGAATTCGATAGAAATAACTTGAAAATACAATTGCGAAAAAAATCTTTACCTTAATTTGACTTTTTTGGTTGCAGTATCAATGTGACTGTTTGCTTGAAATACAAGAATCAAATGCCGTCCCTTGGTAGGTTATCTCATCGTTTCTTTCTGTTTGTTTGTGTGCAACTCAACTTGTCTGTCTATCTGTCCGTCCGCCTTGGTTCTTGCCTGATTCAGTTCTTCCCTGGCAGTCTGTCTGTCGGTTTGTCCTTCTGTTTTTGTTTTTTAGTCTGTCTGTCTGACTGTATGTTTGGCTGTCTCGCGGTCTGTCTATCTCTCCTGAGTTTGTCTGTCTACCTGTCCTCTCTCTTCTCGTTCAAGTTCCTGAAGTTTCTTTGCATTTAGATCATACTTCTATGGTTTATGGGTAATTGTGTAGAACAGCTCCCTGAAATAAGCTGTCAGCCGACAGATGACCGACAGTTCACCGAAACGCTACCGACGTGCTACCGACACGCTACCGACAACTGAGGTTATCAGTTGGCCATTACATAAATTGTATTTGTACTTTTACAACGACATACCTAAATTAACTTACTCTGCATACATTTGGTCACTTTTGAAATGGATTGATACCACAATATTTCGGCTTGGATATCTCGAGTGACAGATAACCGACAGGCCACCGACAAGTTATTAGTTAGCCCGCAAAAATTGTATCTGTTCTTATACAGCATTATAACCAAAAATTAATTGACTCTGCATACGTTGAGTCACTTTTAAAATGAGTTGATTACCGATTTATCCATCACCTTGTTAAAGACAATTTCGTTTTTTTCGTTCTTTATCAAATCAGGTCAGCCAAACGTCTCTTTCTCAGTCGAACTTGACAAAGATCGCTTTACAGACGGTTTCGATCTTCGCCGGATGTTCTTCTTCCAAGAAGGCAAGACTACATTCTCTATCACACGGCATGTCGTATTGACGAAGCAGAATGAATGGCATTGCCAGTTAGTTGACACAGCATACCTCAGGGTACGTTTTCTAAGATCAAGTTGACTTCTTAATTAAGCATTAAAGTGGTTATATGATTGAGTGCCAAATCTTAGGTAATTACCGCAGCACATCATAACGAAGTCAACAACACAAGGAAACAATGAAGCGCGAATGAAACCAAGATATCAGCCAGTTTTGCATCTGGTTAGTTGACTGTGTGGTGTCAGTAGCATGGTGAAATAAAACCATCAAGTGCAATCCTGGATTATTTTTGACTCTCAGTTGCTTTAACAAGCTTGTAGCGATCATCCCTTTTTTATGGCTTAAAACTCAGAGTGATTTTTTTTGGCGCTGCCTGAAATTCTCTTCCTTTTGATACTCATCAGTTCTTTGCAATTTATGACTTTTTTTATCTTTAATGAATTTACTAGTTAACCCCCCTTGCCGAGTTAATTCTTACTCATAATGTAATTAAAAACACATTTTTTTTTTCCTCAGGAAAAGGACCAACTCCAGGATGTGTTTGATCCATTAACATTTGATCTGACCTACGATCTTTCTCAGTCACCGTCCTGTACACTTTGTCCAATTTTGAACGACCACAATGACATTGCTCAGCGGTCTTTTAGAGCCACAGTAAGTGTATGAAAAAGAAAACCATATACGTTTCAGCCTGGCATTTATTTGCAGCCGCGCTGTCTCTATGTTAAGTAACGTTAATTATTTTTAACTTTTCACAGGTAGGCTTTGTCAAGCAATGTGGAAACGACAAAATCTGTCAACCAGACTTAGCTATCAAAGGATCACTGATATACGGCGACGGGTGAGTTTTATATCGACCTTACCATTTGGGTTCTTCTTACTGTCTGCCATACGCTATTTAAGGTTATGACAATAGGATTTTTAATTATTACATCAGACATCTTTTTTTTTTCCATATTCGCTATTTGTCTAATCATATCATATTTTAAAAAATGGCCACCAGACGGAAAAAATTTCAATTTTAGTCTCACTGATACTTACTCTCTCCAGTTTGGATCGGTTTGTCCACCGCTAAGACGAGACTGATAAAATATTTCTCATTTTCCAAGAAGAAATCTTTATCTTTGATTCCATCAGGATTGCCTAGTTGCAATGTAATGAACTGGATAAAACGCGTGCTATGATTGGTTAAAATGAAGCAAGTATTATGTTATTATCATTGTACTATCTTATCACAGGGAGCAAAGCGAGCTTCTGATTGGGGATGTCAAAACACTTACTGTCCGGGTAGAGGTAGAGAACAAAGCACAGGACGCAGCCTACCCTGGAAAGGTCATGGTTACATATCCATCCCTCATCGACTACGCTTACAGTGAGGTTCGTCCTTATGTAAAATGGAAAAGTTTAAAGTATGCTCAATGGAAAACGTCGACCGCTCGAAGCATCGTCGAGTAATGCTCGGATTGCTTTGCTATTATTTTGTAATGAAAATTACATATAGCTTAAGTTTTCGCGATTATGAGAGTTATCGTACTGGCTTGTTCGTCTTGGCGTCCCTTAATAACGGGTTTCTTCAAATCGATGACGTTTTAAAACTGCTGGTATTATTTGTCAGGCCTCGGCCAGGGGGGAAACAGTGGGATACAGACGTGCCCAGTTGTTTCCTCGTGAGAAACCAGCGTACCTTTATATTGTAAACGGTTTGATACCAAATGCTGAAAATTCACAGAATTGTAACAATACCAAAGATTAAGTGGAAAGGATATAATTTATAACCATATTGCGTTGAGAAATCTCCTATACTTGAGTAGAGAATACAACAGACACCAAAATAACTAAAACTTCTTGATCGGTCTAATTGATTTTTGTTTACTTGTTTGCTAGGTTTAGAGTGTAAACGATTTGCTTGTTTTATTTTGTTTTTGTTTTGTGCTTGCCTTTGTTTTCGTTTTTTTTTTAAACACAATCTTCCTTGATTCTTTTAGCAGGATGTATCCTGTTCAACAAAGTTGTTGGAGGACGGCAACAGGCAAGCAGAGTGCGCCATTGGAAATCCTTTCAGGGGGAATACCAAGGTAAACAAAGTGAAAAAAAAGAACATGTTCGGAATGATCTCTCTAATTCTCATGTACACGAATGACGTCTTGAAAGTCGTAAGAGAAAAGTAAGTCTCCTAAAGTGCACGAGAGAAAAATATCTCTCCTTCTTTATTGACGTCGTGGTTAATTCAAAATTAAACCCGCTTAGTTTCTCTGGTTGACCTTTTCACTCATTCATTTCTAACCGATGAAGGTTCTTCTTTATTTTTTATTTATTTATTTATTTATTTTATTTATATATTTTTCTATATCATTATAAAAAAATTTTGGCTAAAGCCTCAGACATCTATTGCGGTTTCACTTGACCAGAACTTGAATTACAGCTTCACAAGCCTCAAGTAGCCACAAGCTAATAAAGAAAAGAGAAAGCCTTTTTTTTTTCATTCTTCAATTATTAAGTTACGTATTAGTCAAATTGCCCCAAGACGTATGTTTAGGGTCCAGTATTAACATTTTTTTTAAATGGAGAGTTATTCTGTCAAGCATTATTTTCATTTTATTTTCAAACAAATAGAAACAGTTCGATGTCATATTCAACGCCCAAAGAATCACGGGAAACATAACTCAGTTTAGTATTCATCTTGAGGCTACAAGGTGAGTACTCTAACATGCGGAAAAGCTATTGAACTGTACGTAACTAAGACAAACCAGGGCTTTTTTGTCAAAGAAGAGGGTATACATTGTGTTAACGGATCCTAATCACCTATAAACAACAGTACTTTGTTCTTTGTGGATTGCCGTCATTCTCTCTGAAGATCATCTGCACTTCAATTTTTCTCTATTTTACAAAATTTCGTCGATAACCAAAAAGAAATATTCGAGGTTTCCCAGACGTAAACAAAATTTGAAGCGTGGTTGACTACGATTCTTTGATAATGAATTTCTTATTTTCATATTCTTAGTGGTCTCAGTGAAGACGTGGACAAATCTAATAACAAGGAAAGTCTCCAAGTTCCTGTCAAATTTGAAGCAGATCTTAGTATTGTTGGGTAAGTGTTACATTTTACCATTCTTCGCTCTCAAAATTATGAGAGATTAAGCATCAGCTTGGTCTGTTCCAACCATTCTTATAAGTCTTTTTTTTTTTTTAGACCATGCGATCATTTTTTGTTGTTGTTGTTTTGTTTTTACATTGAAAGTAGGCTTGACCAAGAATTTAATAAAATTGGTTTATCAGAAAAAGAAACTTAACTTGGAAGTACGACATGCACTGTAAGACTCTACAAGTCAACAGCTACGTTTCCGATAAAAACTACCTGAAAATCTCCTCTACGACCAAGCTTGAAGAGGTGCGGCTTAACTGTTGACCATGGGAACTTCATAAAATGTAAAATATCTGACCACCGATCGTCTCCCAAATGTAGGTAAAAGGCTTACATTTCTTTTTTTCCCTTCAGATTTTCTAATCCAGATCAAGTGGTATACAAGGATAAAGTTTCTGAGGTCAAGAACGCTTTTGATATTGGACCTTCAGTAAAGCAGACCATAACAGTAAGTCGCTGACTTTTCCTTTCTCTTCTTTTTCACTGTGGGAAGTTTGAAAACTTAATAATAACAATGATAAAAATGCAAATAATAATGATAATGAAAATTATCATTTGAATTATAATTATAATAATGACAAGAAGGCTATTATTATTATCGCTGGTCAACAGTGCTCACATTCGTGATTCCTCTATCACTTCCTGGTTACCACAAATGCCTAGTCTCGCTACTTGAGTCATTTTTCATTCTAAATGAAAATTACTACAAGAATGCTTTACTTTTACCACAGTACCCCCTGTGATTGTTAAAACCAAATCGTGCCATCTTCTATCACAACCAATCAGCTGCAAAACCAATTGCAACTTGATCAATTACGATTCCCCGTCAAACATATTTTCCATTTCCCCCACAAACGCGCGCAAGCGTGATTGGTCATTTTTAATCTCGCTGGCTGGAGAGGCACACAATCGATAAGCTTTCTATCGCAACTGCCCCTTTAAAACCTGTTCGAACCTGTTATTACATTCTAGGTAAGGAACAACGGCCCCAGTCCTATCGAATATGCAGAGGTTACAATTGAGGTTCCATTTAAGTATAACAAGGAGGAAGGTCCAAACTACTTGCTGTATTTGATGGGAGTAGACGTAAGTCAAAGTCATTTTGATCGAAATATCCTCGTGACGTTTCGTGAACTCGTCGTTGTTCTTCAGAAACTTTCAGAAGGTTAACCTTCGGAAGTAATTTTGCCAAGAATGTGGTCAGAGTTCGTTCAAGATTCTTATTTTTTTATTTCACCACATCAATAGGTTCTCGGAAATGCAGGAAGTTGTAATGTGAAGAGCAATCCTTTAAATCTTCAGGTGAGTTGTATTTAGAGCTTTATATAGCTTGCAAGCAGTTCTTCATTATCACTGCTTCGGCACAAGCTTCTTCGCCCGCGGGAAAGAAATGAGACCGTGAGCAACGCCAGCCAGCGAGAGGTCTGGAAAGGATATAGCACTGATAATTAGTGCCAGACTCCTGGCAAATCTTTACGCGGGCGGAGAAACGCGCGTCCTGTTTTGGTCTGCTCGTAGGCTTTGTTTTATAAGACTGTGGGTTCTAATGGTACAAAAGGATAAAAAAAATCAAAAGTGAATGCTTCAGTATGAAAGCAGAATACAACAGTTTTTTTTTTCTTTACTTAAAGCAAGTAACCCTAATTCTCGATTAAATTTCATTTTTTTCCTCCCCAGCTGAATACCAACAACAGTCAACGAGAACAAGAGTCCAGTTCTTCAAAAGTAAGAAGGCGGAAAGAAATAGAACAGACAAACGAAGAACTGGTAAGAGACAAGATTTTTTATGTTCCAGTGCAAAAATAGAAAGCATGTAAGAAAAATCGCTGTCTTTTTTAAACGAAAAGTGGAGCTTAAACCACAGTTTTTGAGATAAAGAGTACAAAGTCGACACCAAACGCGGGAAACCTCGCTTTCAAATTTTATTAAAAAGTAGAGAGCTTTGCAAATGTTAAACCACGGCACTCAACAACACTTAGGAAAGTCATTGTAAATTACCAGTTTGTTTTCAATATTTCAATAACAAAATAATTTTTGCAAAATTATCGTAAAATTGTTAATGCAGCACTTGTGGAAATTACTTTTCAGCCATGCAAATCTGATAACGCCATGACGTGCCTAAGGGTTCCTTGCGTCTTGGGAAGAATGAAGAAAGGGGATGATGTGAAGATACAGATAAGGTCCCGGCTCTGGCAGAATACTCTCATTAAGGTACCTTTTAATTGAGAGGCGCCTTTCAATGCTTTCGGTTCCAAAAGACTTCTTGTTTTTGAATACTGAAGTATTTCTTTGCTCATAGACGAACGCTGGCTCGATGAACCTTACAACGACGGCTCAAGTGACTCCTCCAACTGGTGTTAAAGAACCAAAAACTACAGATAACATTGTTAAGGTTTGTGCCAACTGCTTTTTTCTTTTTGTTTTTTTTCCAAAATTTTTGTACATTCTTTAACGACCCTTCTTTTCATATTCATTCCTGAGGAGAGCCCCCGGTTTCCTAGCTAGTGTGCTACCCTGGGTTTGGCGATGTCATGCCGGGGGCAAAATGACGAAATTTAACTAAATTTAAATGCCTTTAAAAAAAAAAAAACATAGCGAAATCGAAAGACTTCTTTTTCACTATATGTTACTGCAATGGTCAGAAATCCTCTTCTTCCTCCAGATGTCTGTTTTTATCTAAAGAGCACCTGTCAAGATCAAAACTACCTTTCATCTTTGTCATTCATTTAGGTGATGTTTTTCATTAAAACTGTTTAAAAAAAAATCGACCTTGGCAAAGTTGGCATTATTTATCTATGTTGTCATCTTTGTGTTGTCTTGCATTTCTTTGGGGAAACAGTTTACAAGAGAAAATTCGTTTGAATCCCTGTCGATAGTTTGAGCTTTGAAACGCGTAAATCAGAGGGTTGCAAAATGAATTGGCGATCAGAAGAAACCGAACGGTTTTATGAATTAAAAACAGGCGAGGGCGGTCAATTGCTGCGGTCTCTTTGTCGATAGTGGTTAGATATATAAAGAATAAAGAAAATGGCAGAGTGCAAACGCAAAATAGGAGCATAACCCACAAAATAAGCTTAAAGAGCTGCCTTTTTGAGCGTCGTTCTGCCAACGCTTGACTGCCCGAACCTTGCAAAGCTGCTGCACATATTGTATGCGTGATGAAAAATCCACGGAAAAGTTCGAAATAGCAGAAAATTACAAGGATGGTTGGAAAAATTCCAAAGACAATAGAAGTAAACGTTATAAAGCCTTCGTGATGATAATATTCGTCAATTCTCCAAGGTCGTTTGCACGGATAGCCTGAGTGAGGATTTGAGTCCACAGTATTTGATAATAAGTCAGGAACGCAGGATGAGACGGACAGTATCCACAATAAGGCAACCACGTAAGGAAGTCGGTTTTTAGTTAGTCTTAAACCAATTTCGAAGGGTCTGACAAGCGCCAAGTATCTTTCCACAGCTATTGTGCTAACTGTCAAGGCGGCAGCGTTCATCGTCATCGGAACAAATGCATTTCCCGCGAAGACTTTACAGACAAAATCTCCAATTGTTTTATCAAAATGCACTTTGGTAAGAAGATAGTCGTAGCTACCAGGGCATAGAATCAAAGTCAGTAGATCGGCGATGGCCAAATTTAGCAGGAGATAGTTTGTTGTGGTGTGCATTGAAGGTGTCTTTCGAACAATGGTGATTATAACACAGTTAGCGGGCATGCCGATGGCAATGATCAGGGAGTACAAGACTGCGAAAGCCACATCGTGATCGGACAAAGAAATTGAACTGTTGTCAAAAGGTACCGTGTTGTTAAATGCCATAGGATAGTTTAAAGAGGAACGGTTCAGGAAAAAACCTTACCACAAGTTCGCTAGTTCTGTCTTTTGCTTACTGAGTTGGAGTTGCTTTTGAATTGTATACTACGTCAATATTAATATTTCATCACTGTGACAATTATGCAAGATCATCCAAAGGAAATTCAGGCAATGAAGAGAAGTTATAAGGATTCTGTTCGTGGTTGAAGTCCTTTACCAAGAAGAATTTTTGATCAGTATAGCACGCTTCTGTTCTCTAGCAAGACACGACGGTATTCTGCAAAGTCGTAAATAGATTAGCATATGAACGCAGCTGCTCTCTTTCCGTTCTTGAGTGGCTCAAGTACGTTATTGACGTTTATCGATCATCTTTTTCTTTGCTAGTGGTAGGTTTGAAAAATGATCAGGAAATGGTATGCCTTATGACTTTTATATCTCATTTCCGATAAAATTCTGAAGTTAATGCATACTTTTTGATGTGACGTCTTCATCGATTTTTCTGATTTCGCTAAAGATTATATTAACTACCATTACCGATTTTGAAAAGCATTGCCACCAAATAATCTTACATTACTTGCTTACAACGAGGTATCTTATATTTTTCCCTTTCATTTTGTGAAGCGAAAAGTCTTCGTCTTAGCTGCATGCAGTGATGGAAATCCACTGAATATTCAGCCTCACGGACTTCCGGCATGATAGAAACTATTAATATTGATTTGAAAATGATGAGGATCATATTGAGAAAGTCGTTTGTCAATCTTGTTAAGCACATGCTGCTATTCACTGACTCCTTCGCTCTTTGATTCTTGGTTTTCCTCCCACGTTACGTTGCTACGTTCTTCGATCCGTTTCTTTTTACCCCACGTTCACCTGATTGTCCAAGAGTGGTTGAGGACAAAATTAACCAATGCAGCTCGGTCAAATTAAGTTTGCCTTTTTTTTTCTGCCAAGATGGCTCGTTACTTCCCAGGATGCTCTTTGAGAGTTATTGAAATTTCCATAGAAATATAAGAAAGACGACGGCAAATAGCACCGTTGTCATCGTCATTACGCAGGCTTTTTAATAAGGAGTTGACTGTGTGGGAGAATGATTAAACAGGCCTCGCTGGCCCCATTCAAACCAACTTGAAGTTAAACTGGGCCAGCGTGGTTTAATATTGCTGATAAATAAAAA